GCGGGACTCGATCCAGGGACTCCAGGATCATGACCTGAGCCGAAGGCAGCTGCCTAACCAACTGAGCCACCCAGGCGCCCCTCATTAGCTCTATTTTACATACAGGAAAACAGAGGCACAGGGGTTAAGGGACTTGCCTGCCCACATCACACAAGCCAGTAAGTAGTGTGACTGGGACTCCTGCCAGGCTAGTGGGCTGCAATGCCTGCTCCTAACACTATCCTATACTGTTCCTGTAGTTGCCAGATGCCAAAAATATGCGTGGTTGAGGTTCTCAGAGGTGGCGTGATGGCCAATGGCTTGCAAGGTGCCAGGTGCTAGGAGAGAGGCGATGTATCAGAATTAGAAGATAAATTGACACAGCGTATTCTCAGAGTGAAAATCTACCAATGCTAGATTGTGTCCCTCTAGAAAGCAGTAGCATCCCCTCAGTCTGGACCTGGCGGTACAAACCCAAGGCTGAAAGGAACACGAGTTCCTGTATACTGGCTGTGTTTCTGACATGTCAATGGATGTTGACTGAGGAGGTTTTAAAATATGCCTGTAAATTCTAGACACATTTCTCTTCAAAAGGTGAGGCCTAGTTTCCTTCCCCCTTGAACATGGCTTCTAACAAACAGAATGTGGCAGAAGTGATGCTATGGGACTTCTGAGGCTAGGCCATAAAAGGGCTAGCTTCCACCTAGCTCTCGCTGGTTTGTTAGCTCTAGAGGAAGCCATCCACCAGGTTATGAGGTCACCCAAGTAGAGAGGCCCACATGTGGAGAAGAACTCCGTTGCCAGTCATGTGAATGAGCCACTCTGAAATAGATCCTCCAGCCCCAGACAAGCCTTCAGTGATTCTAGTCCCCACAGAGACAAACCATCCCCACTGTGCTCTGTCAGCACTGTTGTCCCACAGAACCAGGAGAAATACTCATTGTTGTTTTAAGCCACAAGTTTGAATAATTGGTTACACAGCAATGGATGAGAGACAGACCAACTCACCCTCTCTGCCCACCAGGGACTTGTATCCTGGCTCTGTCTGGAAGGGGTGAGGAAGGGACATGTTAGCACTAAAAGACTCCTTTGTAGGGAAAGATGGTTTTCCAGATTGTAGAGAACATGCTTCTGGCTTTATAGCCACAGAAGGGCTTTTCCTAGGACTGGAAAAAGTTAACTATGAAAGCAAAGTAATGATTCTGCTAAAACCATTTAAAATACCTGGTTATAAAACTTCTAACTTATTCAGGTGTTAAACTTTTCGTGTCTAGGTGCTCTGACCAAAGGTTTTCTCTATTCTGTATTTGTCATTCTTTGTCAGGATAGCAGTGCAAAATTCAAGGCATTGTGATCCGAATTGTTGAAAACCTCTTTCATTTCCGTATTCTTCTAATCACCCAAAAATATTGGCCCTAATTCCATTACTATTTCCAATTCCACCAAAATATCTTTTTAATGCGGAACAACCTCTTATTCAATAGTCCCCAGGGGCTGAATTCAAAGATTTTCAGTAGAAAGAGGGTCTATTAAAAGGCATGTTGTGTCCTCCAACTTGGAAACTGAGCCAGTTCTTCAGTGCCAAGGTCTTTGTGTTAGAGAAGCAGTCTTAACCCTCTGAGCGCATCAGAAAACGCCAAGACCCCTCTGTCAGAGATGTGTGAAGAGGTGACGATGGACCCCCCCTCTGCTTTCCTGTCTTACCTGAACTAGGCAAGGCAAGAAGAGTTCAATTTCACACCCTGCCCATTATGAGCAAAGGTAGCAGAATGTTCAATACCAGAAAAAGACACCGTGACCCATACTGTTCAAATTTCAAGGCTGGTATCAACAGTGTGCCAGAGTTCTCTGGCAGGCAGGGGGCAGGACAAGACCATTAACAAGCTGATCACATCTGCAGCAAAGGCGGGGACTGGTGGACAAAGGTCCCAGGGCAGCAAATGAAAAATAAATGTTCCCAGTAGTTGGGACTGAAATACACTTATACTTGGCACAAAATCAGTTATTTGAAACAAATTACATAAAAATGAAAACTGGGGGAAAAAAATGAAGACTGAGCCACCCCAAAAGTTTGGAGAGCATCTTTCCAGCCTTTTTTAGTCCTGAGTATAAAGTCCTATAGAGAGGAAGCCCTTCTAGGGTGTAAGGCCTTTATGCTGTGATGCGCCAAACCTATCACGCCTGATCTAAACCACCTTCGAGGCCTTTAGGAAAGAGGATCTATGTCCAAATGGCAAAGTTTAAATGGCCTTTATTCAAGACTAGCCTGACCTTGTTTTTCATACTTTCTATAAACCATGCAAAACAACTCTTCCTTCAGCGCCATCATTACCTGATATGGGGAACGGAAGGAGCAGCCAATTTATTTGCTCGTTCACTGCTTTGAAGCTTTGTCCTTAATTCATTCATCTCTGCATCTTTAAATTGGAGTTCAGACTGCAATGATTGAAGCTGGAAGGCAAAGACAACATACTCGTGGTGGCCCCATCATATATGCAAAATTATCTCTGGGCTTCAGAACATCAGGTTCATAAACGAAAACAATGAGAAATAAGTATGAAAGTCCACTGTGACACAAATGTCCTTTCTATAGAGCTTTAGCCGTCTTCCTAAATGTGAGCATGGTATTCTAGAAAGACATTTTGACCTGATCTATTGCGAGGTAGTTTGTGAGGGTTTAAATACCATTTACTCAGCCTCTCTAAACTTTAGCTTATCTGTAACACAAATACCGGTCTTCACGGTTGGGGGGATTAAATAGGAAGGATGAATATGAACTGCCCAGCCTGGAGCCTGGCAAGGTGCCTTATCTCACAGTGACATGTCGACCTTTTGATGAACGTAGTGGTGTATGATTCCAGGTCTTCTTGAAAGTCTGGGCAGAGTGTTTGGAAATTTTACCAAAACCCCACGCAGCATGGGCAGACCTGCTCTGGCCTACAGCCAACAGTAACTGCTGTTATTCCCTGGGCACACTCCGTGCCAAGTGTAGTCCCAGTCCCAGCACCGTCCCAGCACATGCAGGGCTGTTTAAGTCTTACAGCAACCCTTCTGGTTATTTCCTGGAACAGATCATGGAAATGAGTCACAGAGCTTAAGTCATTACCCTGAAGTCTCCACTCACATGTGAGAAAGAAAGCCTGGATTCAAACTCTGGTTTGTCTGATTACAACTCCCTTGCTCTTCCATCATGTATGTGGAGAGACAAGTACTGCTGTTAGTGCTGGGCACAGGTTAGTGCTTCTTTAAAGTTTGCTAATTTGCTGAATGAATGGCAGAATAAGACCCATGTCCTTGAGATTGAAGCCTTGGAAAGTGCTGAAGGAAAACGGCGGTATGTATGGACACCTACTAATTTCTTCCCAGAACAGCATCTCCCTCCCCCGAGGAATAATCATTTCCCTACCTCTGTGTGATTTAAACGGGAGCTATCATCTCTGTGGTTACAGTGTGACTCAGGTCAGACCAATGAGAGCCTTGAGATTGGGGAGGGGGGGGGAAGGCAAGTATTCATTCTGCTCTGGAGCTATGAAACATGAACTCAAGAGCTGCTGGAGAACATATCCTTTACCATAAGGATGAAGCCTATCTATAGAGTAGACAGTAAAGACAAGTCCTGGCAAGGCTTGAGTCATTCAAGGCCCCCGCACACCTGTTTTTTCCCAGACTTAGTTATGGAAGTCAATACATTTTCTTTTGGCCTAAGCTAGGTCAACTGAGTTTCTAACCTGGCAAAAAAGCTCTTACTTAAGCCTATTTCTGGAAAGTCTAAGCTATTGATTTGTTCCTGCCAAGACCAACTATCATAACTACCACAGCAAAGCAGTTTCTTCTAAGTCCTTTTCCAAACCACATGCAGAACCTAGAAGAAAAGTATATGCAATTAACTGATAGCAGAAAGTATTTAAGACAAACAACTGCTGAAATCTTCCTGGAAGACTTATAGACACTTTGGTCATTGCTTTTAAGAGAACTCAGTGAACAGGCAAAGCTTGTGTCCAGAACAAGAAAAAAATAAAAAAGCTCTGGGTCACCTTTTTGGAAAATTCCTTTTCTTTGTCACCAAGTGCTTGAGTTTTCTCTTGCTCAAGAAGGAAATGTGATCTTCTCTGTTCCTCTAGAATGGATTCTGTCTGATGCAGCGAGTCCCGCAAAATTTTTATTTCTCCATTTTTAATGAGGACTTCTTCTTCCATTGCCTTCATCTATAAATCCCAAATCAATCTTGTGAAAAGCTTACAAGGGAAAGTTATATTTGTACTTGTTTTAACATATAGCGGAAAAAGCACATGTAAACCATGTTCTACAGACCAATGAGTCCTCAAATATATCCATACCAACTAGATGTCACCATGGTCTGCTAGGCCCATTCGTGGAACAGTTGACATTCAGCAAGATAGCTTAAGGACACACTGTCATTCACACATACAGATTCTGTAGGTTCTAGAAGTATTAAACAATCTGGGTCACACACTTCACAGATCCAAAATTTCACACTATGTTCCTGGTTTTCCTAAGGATCTACAGATAGTCATATAAAGGATGTCTGCTTTTTTGTAAAACTGCTACTGAAAACAGCAAACATTATGATGTTGTATCCCCTATAGAAGACATATACCATAAATTTGTCTCAGTACTATGACATAAAGTTTGTATCTTTTTTTGGATCTGGTGTACACTGTTTCCTTTCTTGCCTAGTTGTTAGGAATCTCAGGATTTGGTTTCTTTCAGTCTGAATTTTCTGGCTTTCTTTCCCTAGCCTTCCTCCATTTCGTGGGGCTGAATCTGAACTCTTGTTTTAAAACTTTTACATATCTTATTGTACACTGCTTTATAACACATGCATAAGTGAGTAAGTTAGCTATAAGAACCACAAGTTAAGTCACTTACCTTTTCTTTAAGTTCTTTGTATTGTGCCTGAAGTACCTCTAATTCAAAATTATCTTTAACTGGAACAAATTCTCTGTTTTTCCCTGCAGGAGTTTTTGACATCCCATCTAATCTGGGGATCTTATGAACATCTGTAAAAAACATTTTCCCACTTTTGTCAGTCAATGCTGAAAAGAATCACTCTTGAAAGCAAACTAGAGAAAGCTCTGATAAGCAATATAGGTATTTTCCAACCCAAGAACATGATTCAAACTCATAAATGATCCTTACGAAATAACAGATCCTGCCACTTCCCCACCCCCCACCCTCCAATTTTAAGAGTCTCATCTGAAGGCTGAAAAGGTGTTGTGGGGACCTCACTGGTCAGAAGTTGGTGATCTATTATTCAACAGTATTTACTGAGCACCTCTACCTACACCAGCACGTACACCTACTGAGCACCTGGCACAATCTAGTCTCTAAAGGTACAGTGGTGAGCATAATGGATCCAGTCCTTACACTCATGGAGCTTACAGGATATTCAAAAATATTCACACAAATGCAAATTTTTAAAAAATGCAAATTTACAACTGTGATAAGAGCTGCACAAGAGAACAAATATAGGAAAACCTATCCCAGGGGGACTTGATCCAACTGGAATGACTGGAAGGCTTCCCAAGGAAGTGATGACTGAGCTGAGAGCTGAAGAACAAGAAGTTAAGCAGATGAGCGGGAATGGGGGGAATGGATGGGAAGAATCTGTGTACAAGAAACAGCAATGTGCAATTTATGTATTGTAAGGAAGCAGGGAGCATTCAAGAAATGAAGGAAGGTCAGTGTGGCTCAAACTCAGAAAGAGTGGGAACATGGGCCAGGCCATACTGGCCTTGCAGGCCATGTTAAGAACTTTGATCTTTTTTTTTTTTTAAGATTTTATTTATTTACTTATTTGAGAGAGTGAGATAGAGCACAAGTAGGGAAAGGAGCAGGGGGAGAGGGACAAGCAGATTCCAGGCACCCCAGGACTTTGATCTTTATACTAGACACAGTGGGAAGTCATTAAAGGGCTTCAGCAGGGATGTTCACTTTTTTTTTTTTTTAAAGATTTTATTTATTTATTTGACAGAGAGAGACACAGCGAGAGAGGGAACACAAGCAGGGGGAGTGCGAGAGGGAGAAGC